CAAATTTCCACTTGCTCTACAAGCCTTGAATTCTTTCCTCAAATACATGAATTCAATCAGGCTCCTGATTTTTGCCACCAATGATGTGTACACTCTGGGAAATATGCTCTGTCAAAGGTGCAGTAAAATTGCAAATCTTGCCAGAAACTCTCTCTCAAAGGTTCACTATCCCCCTAGTTTTGCCAGCAATAATGCTGGACTCTGCATGTGACCATGCATGCGACCTCTAAACTTAGAAGTCATCCAGGGCAGAGCTTACATTTTAGATCTCAGCCCTTTCTGTGGCTGTCCTGCTTCCAGAATATACCCCTTAAATTTCCATCTGCTCTATCTCTGAACTTTGTTATTACTACCATGATCTGGTAAGGATGCAGCTTTCCACTGCCAGATCTAGCCGGGCTCGGAGCACAAAATAAAGCAAGAAAGCCATTAATCCCCAGTTCTTACCCAATTAGTAGAAACCTTCTATGGTAAATTCTTATCACCTACCTTTGGTCATCTTCCAGAACCTTCCAGTAGTTGTTTTCTTTTTTAATAATCTGGCCACTGTTTATCATTATTATCTGCTAGAGAAACTATTTGACTTCTTCAAGTTGCCAATACGTGAAGTTGTGTTATTAGCCTCATATCCTGTCTTCCTGCTTCCACCCTCCCCTTCTGAAAGCCTCTTCTCCACACAGAAGCCAGAATCATACCTTTAAAACATAAATCACGTATCACACCCCCCACAAAATCCTTGAAGAACATTACAGTTTGCTCAGAGTAAAGGTCAAGCCCTCATATGGCCTGCAAAGTTCTATATAAAGTTGCCCCCCTCCCCTTGGGGGCGCCTGGGTGGCTCAGTCATTAAGCGTCTGCCTTCAGCTCAGGTCATGATCCCAGGGTCCTGGGATTGAGCCCATCATTGGGCTCCCTGCTCAGTGGGGAACCTGCTTCTCCCTCTCCCACTCCCCCTGCTTGTGTTCCCTCTCTCGCTGTGTCTCTCTCTGTCAAATAAATAAATAAAATCTTTAAAAAAATAAACAAAATAAAGTTGCCCCAGACCACCTCTCAAACTTTATCTCTTAGCAGACTCCCCTGGACCATTCTCCTGTGCTTCCAACACATCCAGCACACTCCAGCTTGCCCTTCACTTGGCCTAAAACACCTCCCTCACTTAGTTGCATGACTGGCTCCCCTCACTTTCTCCAAGTTTCTGTTCAAATTTTGTCTTGCTAGAGAAGACTTCCCTGATCACCCAATCTAAAATACCATCTCTACGATATACCCATCATCTTCACTTCCCCTTCCCTGCTTTGCTCTTCCTCATTGCATTTACTGCCACTTGATCTCATTTATTTATATTTATATATACATATACCATATATAAATACGGTTTACTATGTATCTATTCTCACTTAAACATACGCTCTATGTGGCAGGAATTCTGTTGCATCCAGGATCATAATTGTAGGGCCTAGAACAGAGCCTTGTAGGTATAAGGTACTCAATAAACAGGAGTCAAATAAATGAATGGGTTAAGTGCTGTTATCTGTTAGGCATTATTGTATTAACTAATGTTACTTTCACAGTACCCCATCAATGGGCACTATAATTATCCCTATTACAGATAAGGAATCGAAGCACAAAGAGTTGAAGTCCAAGTTAACAAAACTAACGAGAAGTGGAGCCAGGATTTGGGCCCTGGCAGTCTTGTCTGCAAAGCCCATTGCATTAGTCTGCTCTGGCTGTCATAACAAAGTATCAGACTGGGTGGCTTGAACAACTGAAATTTATTTTCTTACAGTTCTGGAGGATAGAGGTGATGGCAGAGATAGTTCCTGGTGAAACTTCTATCCTTGGCTTGCAGATGGCTGCCTTCTCACTGTGTCCTCATACAGTTTTTTTCTGTGTGTGCCCTCCTGATGTCTCTTCCTCTTCCTGTTGGATTAGGGCTCCACCCTTACTGACCTCATTTAATCCTAATTGTCTCCTTAAAGGCCCTATCTCCAAATATAGTCACAATGGGGGGGTTAGGATTCTAACACATGAATTTTGGGAGGGCCCAATTCAATCCATAACACTTGTAATTTATACCCATAAAATACAGTTATTTTCAACATTTTTCCTTTTTATTTTAGAGAATTAAGGTTTTTTTCTCTAGTTCTTTTTAGACAGACACTGAAGAAACTTTCAGGATGCTGACTAGGCCATAACATCACCTGGCAAGTGAAATCTACTAACATAGCTACAACGAGGATCTTCAGAAACAACTTGGTCTCATAAAACACCGTATGATTGGGCCAAACTGCCAGTGTACTTTCACACACCATGCACTAACTCAGTGCAGCTCTGGGAATTATGTTTATTTGTAACTCCTCATACAGAACCAGCAGAAAACCGTACTTCTGGTGAGTCCCTGATGGAAATCCATTCGTCTCCTTGGTCCTCCTTAAACACACCGTGCATGCTCCCATCTCAGGGCCTTTGCACTTCCTTTCTCTCGGTAACACTTTCCCTCCAGATAGCTTCATGACTCATTTTTCTCCTTATCTAGGTTTCTTTTCTAGTTATCTACATGAATTCTTGCTGGAACAACCTATTTAAAATTGCAAGCATACTTTCTTCCTGCACTTCCCCTATCTATTCTTCCCTCTCTACTTGATTTTTCTCTGTGGCATTAAAAAAAAAAAAAAAAGCCTCCTCCCTCTAGAATGCAAGCAAGATGAAGGTAGGCGTTGTTGTTTGTTTTATTTGTTGCTATTTCCCTAGCTCCTAGTAAAGTGCTCCTAGCACACAGGAGACACTTAGTGAATGAATGAACAAACTTCCCCAAGGTGATAGAGCTAGTAAGTGGTAGAACTGGAATTTGAACCACATCTGAATAAAAGCCTAAAAATTCAACTACTAAATTATACTGTACATAGCAACCATGTGATGTAAGCTTTAATAAGATACAAATATAGTCAAAGAGCAAAAACTGCTCTTCTCTGACACAAACAGACCTCATATAGTGATAGAGAAACTTAGTGTGAATAAAAATTAGTATTCCTTACAAGCTATAAAATTCATTCTTTTTAATACTACAGGCAGCTGACCATTTGTACAATTGAATATTTTGTATAAAAGTTTGCAAGGTCAGAAACTTTTCAAAAATAAACAATGTAGTCTAGTTTCCATTGTTGGATAAATAAAAAATTGGTTGTAAGGTTTTCCCAAAAGATGGTAATATTCTATTCCTAGCCCAAGATAATGAATAAGTAGTATAATTCATTCATTCGCCAAATATTATTAACCATTTAACCGAGCATTGTACTAGGGATACAGCAGTGAACAAAACAATTCTTACATTTTTAAAGGGGAAACAATAAAAACAAAACAAAAAATAAGGAATGTATTCATGTCATAAAAACGTTGGTTTTGTAATAAATGGCCTTTGTAATTTACTCCTAAATAATTCAGAGTAAACTTTTATCACCGTGGTGAAAACCTCAGATGACCCAGGTTGGAATCTCCATTGCTGTGACCCTGGCAAACTGTAAACTTCAAGTTGCAATTCCACAAATAGTGGAAAACAGAACCCGTCTTGAAAGCCTGATATATGTAAAAATGTTAAATGTTGAAAAATAAAATACGCAAGAAAATATTTAGCACACTGCAGGGTAAATAATATCAAATAATATTATTATTACTAGGATATATAAACAATTTAATTCTTCCATTGTGTGAAAACCCATATGAAAGTCTTGGGCTTCATATTTAACTGTAGTTTCCTTTCTTTTTTGGGAAGCTACCACAAGTCATTCATTCATTCATTCATTCAACAAATGTACACTGAGCCAGGTGTTTCATTAGGTGCTAGAAATACATCAGTTTACAGGACAGACACAGTCTCCAAATCGCCATGTTATCATAAGTACTGGGTATTATGAGAGCAAACTGATGTCTAACTTTTCAACAAGAAACAGTAACTTTAAAGAAACCAGTATTTACCAAGTCCTGTTACAGAAGGCCACTCTAGTGGTACTTTGCATTTTGGAGAACGCTCAGTGAATAAAGTTCACTACCAAGGGCAAGGCTGGGAATGCCTAGAAGCAAAGTAGGAGCCATATGGAGTCCTCTCATCATTCTACTTCTAAAATGGACTCACCTTAGCAGGATCTAAGTTTCTCGAGGGCAAGAAACCACAGAGCCTACAAAAATTCATGGCACAGAGCAGATACTTTATAACAGTTTCACGTGAACTAGTACATATTCCAGTTCTTCACTACTACCATCCTAATCCCTGATACAATCATCTCTTGTACTACTGAAAAACCTTCTAACCGGCCTCAGTTGCTGCTCCATTAGTGTGTTCTTCAAATAACCAAATTAACTATTAAAATTATTTTTTCAAACGTAAGTGAGATTAAGTCCTTCCAAATGTTTCCCATCACACTGATCACACCTGCCATTTCCCAGTGCCTGGCTCTAGTCAGTCATACCTTCCTCCTAAACCTCAACCAGCCCCGCTCTTCCGTGCCTCTGCGGTTCCCAGAACCTGAATTCCTTTCCTGTGGCTCACGGCAGGCTAGCGCCTTCTCATGCTTCTGCCCACCTAAATTAAAGCAGCCTGCTCACACAATCGCTATCACGTTGAACTGTTTTTATTTTTTCTTGGCCATTATCAATATTTGAAATTATTTTGGTGTGTTTTATTAAGTGTTGATTTATCTTCCGCCTTGTTCTGCTTGTTTTGCTTGTTTCCCTCCAGTCAAGAAATGTCCAATTACTCAAACGCCCCTGCGCGATTTCCTGTTCTCTTTAAAATTGGGAAATACCCAGGGACCCAAGGACAGAGAATCCGGAAGAAAGTCCCGGGCCCACCCCGCCATGAACCTGACTCCACTTCCGCGGCCCCCAAGCCAGCCTCTGCCCGCCATGCAGCACACCTGTTTCCGCTCTTCTTAATGCTAGGGAGACGCTTTGCTAGACTGGACGGTCTTTCCACTCCCTGCCCGCCCCGCCCACCTGCCATTTACCTGATCGCCTCTCAGCTTCCACCAGGAGGCGCGCCTCCGAGGGCCGGGCCTCCGCCTCTGCCACTGCCTTCCTCAGTACCCTCAGCACGGTCTCCGGGGGCAAGTCGACCAGTTCCGCCCACACGGACTCCGTGTAGAAGTCCACCGTATGTGCATTGGAAATGGACAGGGCTTTCCTCAGGAACTGCAGCAGCTCCTGCAACGTGGCACGCAACGTGAACAGGTCCTGGGTCACTGGGAGCGGGAAAGAAGCCGCCATGACGCTCACCCTCCCGGGCTGTAGGTGGCGCAAACGTAGCCGCAAGGCGAGGGCTCGGTCGCAAGTAACAGACCGGATGAATAGAACTCCGATCTGGACTCTAGTTGGGTGATTGATTGTTTTTGTCTCAAGACGTATTTTAACAGCGTCCGTTGCGTTTTTCTGGCGAGTTGGTTGGTGTGCCATGGCGCCGGTAAGGCGGGTAGCCGAGTGGTCGGCAGGGGATTTTGAGACGCGTAGCCAAGGAGTTTCTTTGGTCGGATTCAAGAATAAGAATGTGAAGCAGAGGACTTGGCGATTTAATCATCCGCAGGCCTTCGCGGGGAGCGTTCGCGAGGGTATGTAAGAGGACAGCCTGTTACAAATCTTAAGGCCTGCGAAATCGGAGGATGCGCTACCCGCCGGAGCAGGGAAGGATTTAGGAACCAGACCCGGCCCCCTTGGGGCAGAGAAAGCCATTCTTAAACCCGCTGAAGTCGTGGGGCTCCCAGAACTGTGAATGGGAAGATGAGTCAGTGTTGCTAACAGTAATTCTTTAAGTGTCTCCCCCGACTTAACCCCATTCTTAATCAGAATTGTTTTTCTCTGCAGTTTTCCGATGAAACCGTAGAGCATCTATGGGTCCAAAGCTTTCCAGCCTTTTCTTACCGATCTTCCTTTGCTTCGCTTTAATTTGTGTTTTTATTTGTCTTGCTGTGAGCAAGTTTCCTCAAATTCCATTTGGAATATTTAAGTCTTAAATAAGTTCAACTTTCTCATAACTGCTAGTTGTACAGAAAATCATACACCATCTCTCGTAGGAATTAGTTTAGTCGTAGAGTGTTTCTCTACGGTAAAATATTTGATGTGAGGGTTTTTTTTTTTAAGTATTGAAGACCTAGATTAATCGTTTTAGATGTATTAAAGAATTTGTTTTGATTTGGTACAAAATCAAATTGGAGTTGTGTAACTATAGTCATTTTCTCTTCGTTGGGATTATCACTGAGCGTGCATGACTGATTTTAGCCAGGTCTTTTTGCAAAGGACCAACATACTATTCATTCCATTCCCTTAAACTTGTTTTCTTGAAATGACATTTTAAAGCAAATTAGTGTAATTCTAGCTTGTGAATGTGATGATGTAAAAAGTTTTCCATTTTAAATTAACAGGTACATTTTTCATGCAATTTATTTTCTGAGAAAGTAATTTATGACATATTGTTCAATAGGACAAGGCTTTGCATTCCGAAGAAAACTGAAGATTCAGCAAAATTACAAGAAATTGCTGTGGAAGGAAAAGAAGGCTCAAACCTCACAGGAATCCCAATTCACAGATCGATACCCTGAGCATCTAAAACATCTTTATTTAGCTGAAGAGAAAAGACTCAGGAAGCAATTTAGAAAAGTTGAACAGCCTTTGTCAGAAGAACAAGCTGATCAACCTTTGCCAAAGGAACAGTGTGACATCAACCAAGCTTTGTCAGGAGAACATTGTAGTTTTGAGCAGCCTCAGTCATCAGAACAATGTAGCATAAGAATAAAGTATGTATTATCTTCCTTTCAAATCCTTTATTTAAAAAAAATTTTTTTAAGATTTTACTTATTTTAGAGAGAGAGTGAGAGCGAAATGGGGGAGGGGCAGAGGGAGAGAGAATCTCAGGCCGACTCCCCGCTGAGTGCAGAGCCCAACATGGGGCTCGGTCTCAAGACCATGAGATCATGCATGACCTGAGTTGAAATCAAGAGTCAGATGCTTAACTGACTGAACCACCCAGGCACCCCTCAAATCCTTTGTTGTAGATATAAGTAGTGTTTTATGAAAGAGATTATAGGACAGCTTATGGAATTCGAATTTTTTTTATTTAAAGCATTATAGAAATCACAGTGGATTATGTGAAAATATTTTCAAGGAAGCTCTCTTTTAGCTTAAATGACTGCGTGAGGCTAGTTTAGGTTAATGGAAGAAGTAATGAAATTGGAATGAAAAGATCTGGATTTTGAATTTCAGCCTCTTGAGTATATTTAATTTTTTTGGACCATGGTTAACTCCTGTTATTAACATGTATTTAAAAAAAAACTAACTTTTGAGAGGTATTATAGTGTAGTGGTTAATATCAGACTGGAGCTGGACACATTGGTGCCTGGTGTCTTCTTCTCTTCTTTGAAATGGAAACAATAATAAGTATGTAATTCAGAGCTGCCATGTTGTACAGTTCTAGAATGGATTATTCATGTAGACCCCATGGTATCTCTGACCCATCTTATGATGTTGGGAAGTGAGTTCATTTATATAAGGTACTTAAAAAGGCAAATGGCACATAGGAAGTGCTTCAGGAATGTTAACTGCTGCTGTTAATACTATTCTGGATTTTTTTTTCCAGAGGACATAGACTTGGTCACAATTAAAAAACAAATGGCACAACTGTATAACACTTTGGTTTTATAAGAGCTAACTTACAAAACTTTCTCTACACATATCTCAAGTTAAAAAACTGTTGAAACCTAAACCGGCAGAAAATCCAGTTGTTACTTGGGACTGTAACTTTTTAGTTCACTAAAATACTGTACTTTAAAGTTGTTAACTAGTTGTCGTAAACGTAACAGGAAATAAGACCTAGGAAAAAGTGTAATGGAGATAGAGACATTAGAAATTCAATTTTTTAGTAGGCTTGTGCATCATATTATTTAATAATGGATGTAAAGCTCTGGCAAATATAGAAATGTAGATTTCAGTCATTCCTGGTAATAATTGAGGTGAAGAGGGTTAAACCATGAAACATGATATGAGAGTAACAATCGTATTCTTAAAGATTACTTATTTTGAGGTCAAAGCAGGAAAAAGTTATTGAAAAAGTTAAATAGAACTGTCATAATTGGAGAAAGGAGAATACAGAGACAGTGAAGTCAGCCGAAGAAAGTTGTGCAAAATAGGGATTGGTCATCTATCAAATACTGTAGAGTCCAAGAAAAACAGGACTAAGACCAAGTCTTTGGATTTATGGTCTAGGTGATCATTGGTGATTTTGGGGAGATTTTAATAGATAACCCTTACTAAGATTTTGACCTTGCGTCCATGGGGCATCTAAAGCCATGGTCTCGGATATGATCATGGCTTGTCTAAAGAATGGAGACCAAGAAGAGAAACACTTGGGGAAAAGCCTGGAGCAAGGAAGAAAAAAATGATCAGGAGAGAAGAATGTTACTAGAACTAAGGGAGTGAAATTTTCAAAAGTAGTGAATGGTCAGTTAAATGAGACTGAATAGTGCCCATTGACTCAACCTTTATATTTGGTGAGAAGGTCACCACTGTCTTGGCATGGACTGTTTCATTGGAGAGAGCAAACACCAGATTGCAAAGAGTTAAGGAGTGAATGTGAAGGGAAAAAAAGGAGTGAATATGAAGTGACTATTGTAGTCTATTTACTCTTCTTTCTAGGTACTTAACTATGAAAGAACAAAGAAAAGACTGACAGAATACATAGAGTCTGGTGATGAGTAATTTATGCATTTGTTAAGCAGCTGCTGAAACCTGTTTTATTGTGGTTATGAGTTGGTGTAGTAAAAAATTGGGAGACTGGGAGAAAGAAGATTAATTACTTAATCAGATAGCTTGAGGAAATGGATGGAATCTGCGCCTAAGTGTCTGGGGACACCGAGAAGTACTTCCAAGATAGAATAGTTATAAATGGGGACTACCTTCAAGGTGTGGTCATTCATGACTGAGTAGATGAATTAAGAGACGATCAAAGCACTTTGGGATTAAAGTTCATGTCATCCATAACTTCTATCATCCTTCAATTTAATGCCTTTTTCAGTCATTTCTGCCATTGTGTTAGTTTCCTGTTTGTTAACATTTAGGATCTTTCAAAGCTTTCTGTATTGTCCCCGGTTGAAATATTTCTCCAAGAGTCTCCATTTACCACTTTTTAATTATGTCTTGAAAGCTGTAACTCTAGCATGTTATTTGGATATTTTACTAATAAGGGTTTGTTCTCTTTCTGCCAGCCTCTCTTCCCTCCTCTATTAATTTGCATCAGTGAGATTTTACTGTGCAAGTACTATATTTTACATAATTGAGTCATAATTTTGGTTTTGTCACTTTTAATCCTTTGACTTACATCTCTTTATCTTAAAAAGCTCCATTACTATTTCAAAGAAAAATAAAAAGAAAACATCAAATCAAAAAGCAAAGGAAGAATATGAACAAGTACAGGCTGAGCGTGCTGCTAAGAAACAAGTAAGATCTTTTAAAATACTTAGATATTTTAAAAAATGTATTCTAAAAAAAAAATAAAGATGTATTCTAAATGTAGATACATGTAAAGCTGTGTTTCTTAGTATGTGCATGTAGTATGTTCTCTGTAAATATTTGCTGAATAAATGAGTAGTTTGAGCAGAACTGTAGAATTTCAACAAATTCCTTGATCGTTTATATTATCTTTGAGAAGAGATACTAGTTGGTCAAGAATAGGATTTAAAAAAAAAAAAAGAATAGGATTTTAAAGTCACTGCTCATAGGTTATGAGCATGTGAGACAACATTTTTCAAGGGTATGGTCCGAGAAGTTGCACTTTTAACAAGTGCCTCAAGAAATTCTTAGTGTAATAAAATTTGAGACCTACTGATGTAAGTAAAGTATAGATGATTATCATAATATTACATTGAAGTAAGTAAAAATCAGAGGCATTAGAATAAAATCCTTCTTTTCTCTAAAGAGTTGATCTTGCCTATTAAAAAGCTGCCTAGATTAACTTAGCAAAAAATTACCACTTTTTATTCAGAAACCCAAAATTAAGTCTTTTTCAAATGAGTACAATAAAATTATCCACAGCTTCAACAAAATTCTGTTTACTCTGTGGTTTTTATTTTTTGTATTGAAGGTATATTAATCTGTCACTTTAAAGAGGATAGCACATCAATCAAAACCTACTTTAAAGATGGCACTGACATTATTTTATGTCTTAGCTTTAAGAATTTGTATAAGGAATCTGGAAGTTTAACATCTAAAATTCTCATGATTCT